GAAAGAGAAGAGACAATAATGCAAATCGAAAACTTCTCCTGAGTGGCTCATCAACTGAATAAATTTCCCAAAGAAAATCAGAGAAATTAAGAAAATGGCTTGTAAAATAAACATCAATAAGAGCATACATTCCTCCATTAATAATTTAAATTGATTAATGGCTTCTTCTGGAATGACACCCATTTCTTCTTCTTCTCAACAGAATGTAAATTTTGCTGTTGAAATCACAGCAACACAAGATAAATTGCTTTAGTTGGCTTGAAAATGGAAAAGAAAATAGGCGCGAGTGAAGGAAGTGAAAGAAGGAAGCATGATGGATCGATGAATGATGGGAACGGTATGGAGAGGATGAGTGGGTGATGAGGAATTGATGATTACGTGATATAATGGAGAAGTGGAGAAGGAGGACGCTGAAAAATTGACTAATTTCAGGATTTTTTTTTTTTTAAAGGGGGATTTTTTACTACGACGGAAATCGCGACACGTGTAAGATTTGCTTAGCCTCTTTTAATATATAGTGAAAAGTTATAGTTTATTACTAAATTATTGTTGTCGCTTTCGTTGAAACTTTTTGCCGCTTGATTGCTTGCGAGATTCTGCACAAAGTCTTATAGTCAAATGATTGTCACCAAATTAGTCACAATCGATCACATATATTTTATTGGCTTGTTGATTCTCGATAACTTAAGGAAGAAAATAGTATTTGTCAAATACCTTATGTATCTATTTTTCTGTCGAAGGCTTATTATCTTCTATTCATTCTACTCCGCTCTTATATTCCTTTGTTAAAAATGCTGTCGGTCAATGCGCCCTCCTTCTGCACTTCAATTAAGAACGGGTTTGTCTACAGACTACACGTACCCCTCTTTGTAAGGATGTTGACATCATTATGTATAATGAATTATATACAAGTAGCATAATTCCTTAAGAACCATTTGGCTTGAATTTTATTAGCACGATCTCCTGACTTATGGAAATACTTCATGGTCTCAGTTGAGATGAGTGGATCTATTTTGCTAACGAAAGATAATGAATCCACTAACTATAATTAACACTTTGAAAACCTCGAAACAGCCTCGTCACTAGGCATTTCTTTATACTTTAATCTCACCCTCTTCCTTCTTACCAACATTAT